ACGCCAGGTTCAGAAGTCCCCGCAGCACCGCCTGATCGTCTAGTCTTGATGTCAGGCCAGCTAATACATTGTGCGCAGCTAGTGAGAAGTCTGACTAGAAAGCCCTAAAAGGATGGTGGCTGAATACTAAGAATAAACGTGGTCCCAGTAACGGTCCTTTTGGTACACCACACTGAACTTTAATTGGGTTGTATATGCAGCTGCGGACCCTCAGATTCGGCTTAGGTGGAATGAAGAAGTTGATTATTCAACCTAGCACAGGGTCACCGACCCCATTGTTTCGAAGCGTATGAAAAATGAATACGGTGTCCCAGGCGATCAAAGACTTTTGAGAAATCCGAGTAGGCCACGTCGACGCCAATGCTAACGCCGAGTAACTGCATCCAAGGTCCTCGGGTTAGCAAGAATTTTGTACCGCAGATCTGATTTCTACAGAATCAATACTGCTGTGACACTATGATGTGCTTACTTACAAAGTATCTCATGAGCGCCTCCGCGATTATACCTTCCACAACTTTGGATAACACTGGGAGAAGAGTGATTGGAAGGTGGTACGATGGCACCACACAATTCTTACTCTCATGAACAGGAGTGACTATGCATAGATTCCACAGGGTCGGAACCTTCATTTCCTCAAAGTTCCGTATGAAAAACCAGGCCAACATTTAGGTAAACTTATGGCGACTCTTTTTAGTGCCTTCGACTTGATATTGTCCAAGCCAGGAGAGTTGTGCATGCGTAAGGACAAGAATATTTTCATCACATTTGTTGCAGTGAAGAATACTTGGCTTAATCCTTGGGGGCGGAGTGAGCTGTGTCATGAACTAGTGAGGTGACGATTCACTTTGAATAGTGCGGGTAAACTGTTGCCGAAGCGCGTTTGCTGCATCTTGTGTAGTGAGCGCCAGCCTATCTACTGCAAGTAGAATTGGGATTCTGTACCGCACTCTCCGGAACGTTTTTACCTGTCTGTAGAGTATCTTAGGATTAGTAGTGTATTTAGTCATTAAGTTCGCTTGGGGTTGAATTTGCGTTGGCGAAGTAATTTGAGACCTTGATTTCGCTAAGTTATATAGGCATCCCAGGCCTGCGGATCTGGACAGGCTTTATAAGTGCGCAATTTTGTGTCCAGCGCCTCAGGAAGGACTTTATTTGCTCCTGGTGAAATAGTCTGGTATCCGACGTATCGGTCACTATCCCGGTGAAATGTGTGACAAAGTCCTTCTATGTGAGGTTTGCAGACTGCTTGGCTAGAAAAGGCCAGTTTGTTTCCTGGATTAGTTCAGACAGTGCGGACTTCCTCGCTGCTTTCACAGATGTATTCCGGGCATCAGATTTAACATAGAAGCAACGTCGCGCGATCAGAAAAGCCCAAGTAGAGCAACTGTGGTTACGGTATCGATCATTAGTTCCTCGTTGGTGAGCACGAGGTCTAAAGCATAGGGTGCGTCACTTGTTCTGAATCTCGCGAGAGTAATGACATAGTCGTAGAGCGGCACCTCGGTGCTTACTTCTTCCAAGTCGGCCTTGAACTGTTCGCTGGGAGAAGCAGGGACTTCCCTTGCGTGCAGGTTGAAGTATCCCACCAAAACGACGTGAATGTATGTCCGTGCCAGGACTCATTTCATGGTAAAGGCTAGGCGGTGATCATTTTCCAGGGTGGACATTTGGTGGCGATAAATGATTGCAAGTAAACACACTTAACCACGTGTTAGATGCAGACAGTACCAAAGGGAATCAACAATTTATGTATCTGGATCTCTGATAATATCAATACGGACGTCAACTTGGCAAAACAGGACAACGTAACCACTTCTGCTGGGTCGATCGTTTCGTAGGGAACCCATGCTGAGTAGAGTTATGTCAGTATTGGTGAGGTCAGTATTCATCCGTGTTTTAGTTGTCGTGACAATGTCCAAAGGAGAGGAAGCGTGATGAGTACCAAGCTCGGGTAAGTTACTGAGATTTGGGACCTTGGTATACAAGCAGCTCAGGGCCTCAGAGGCGGTTAGCAGTGTATATGTAGATGTGTCGTCTGGGAAGGGGTTTATGCTGACCCTTGTGGGATCGGCTGTCCGTTATTTTTTGTTGAACCGTAATCGCTGGTCCCGGGGCAATTCCAGGTTGATATGTAGAGATTTTGGCGTCAATAGGTGGCTGCAAACCTAGACATCATTCAGCTAAGTGTTTGGATCGCATTCCGGTTCTGAGCGGCATGCTGACGGGGTCGCACACAAGGATTTCATTTTCAGCGTTGTCTCGTCGGTTTATGGCATGGTGTCCATAGACTTTATACGTATTTCGGATGGCAGCTTCTTACCCATTTTGAGACATGAGGTTGGTTTGCAGTGTTGCTTTTATCAAGCACGGACCGTTCCCTTTGTAGCTGAGCGATGATGACAACCTTGAGATCGAAATGGAGCTCACGTTTTAGATTGAGAGTACCTCGTGGATGAAGCGCCATTCATACCAATCCTGTGCTTGGGCATCTAGTTCGCTTGAAGTCTGAAGCTCGGAGACACCGTGGATAAGGATCGATTTTTTTCAGTATTCGTCCGAGTAAAGAACTGATGCACATATTCGTCAGTACAACCGTATTGAATTGCTCAGGTTTGCGTAAAATGGGTGTCTTCAGATGAGGGACGTAATCTTTGACACACTTAGACCCATATAAGGTAATCGTACTGGCTAATCTAGGATAACATAGATGTCGTCAAGTGTATGGTGTTATCCACTCGCAACACTGGAGATTATGTTCGGGTTCATTTCAGGTAGGGAGATCAAGACGGAAGTAAGCAAAGTGCGAGATTAATGATCGGATTTCCGGCTTCAATATTCCAGCCGCGGAACATTCGGGCAATGACGAAAGCAGTAATGGGACACGATACCCAGACGACGCAACATTCGAAGGTGCATATTTTGTGCGCAGTCACTGGGCTCGCCATCACGAATTCGTGGGTAATTGTGATCGCGTGGCACCGTTTAAGCGCACAGCGTAAAGTCAAAACAAGCATAATAAAAAGGGATAAAGTTTGCATACACAAGTCGCCACCTTCCGTAGATAAAAGCAACCTTTATTTGATACACCGAAAACGATGGAGGAACATCGGTTCTACATACTTGCGGCAAACTCTTGAACCAAAGTTCAACTTTCCAAGTGACTCGACTGTCATGTACAGACCATGAGTTAGCCCACTTCGCGCCATTGATCGTAGCAAGCTCATCTCTGTTCAGGATGACTTTTAGCCCTGCAATCTATAATCATTTGTCTTCAAGTGATTGTGGGTGCAGTCTCGCACTAATGGACAACATATACATCAGCAAGTTATAGTTACATAGATCGAACGAGCGTTTCCTTCGGGTTCCTCTGAGTCTTGCCAAAGCAATTAGTGTCACGGGATTTGTTTTCACTCGTGAATTTAAACGTGGCATAGCACTTTTTCCGAATACTTAGCGTTGGGAGGGTAGGGCGAGCAACCTCAGAACCTCAGGGACATGTCACGCTCTCTGCGCATTCGGAATCGCGGAAGAGTATGGACAGCCTCGCATCAGCGTGATCGATCAGGTGCGTAGAAGACCACGAGGCAGGGGCTGAGCGAAACGCGTCTAAAATAACGTGCGCATTGCTAGCGTTTGATCGAGTGGGCGAGTGAGTCTTTAGAGTACAGCTGCTTTGGTTGTGATGTCGGAATCGATAGCGCGTGTATTGATTCGGTGTGAGTTCTTTCTTTTGGTGTGACAGAGCACCCAAGCACACAACACCTAGTAAGTGCCATGATTTTTGAGAATGTTCTTTATAATAATAATACTAGGTATTTTTCTTATCAAGTGAGCAGTTGCGTCCATATTTGGCACAGATCATATATGTACATGCATGGGTAGTACTAAGTTATGTTTTTATATTTGTCTGTGTTTCTAACAACGTATATATCTAATATGTTTGTCGTTTATTCGAAGGTGGGAAGCATTGTTGCACTTTAAGTCTATTGTAAACACTGGGACTAAGTACATTGCGTAGTTATTGGTATTTCATCCGTTAGACGTTATCTTGGCCTTCCTTTCTCACTGCGGTTAGCGGCCTCCGGTTGATTTTTCCTGGCTGTGTGAACAATATTATTTGCATTATTTCGTGTAAATTGCAATAGCATACATTTTCATTGTTATTGTGGCTTTGTTGAACATAAATAGTCGCTGAACGAGTCGTCTACAGTGCGGTCGCAAAAAAGCTGTCCTCCTGCGGTATTCGCCTCCAAATCTTTGGATTTATTCTCACAGAGACCTACGTGCCATCATTCGATTTGGTTCCTCGAGCTCCTCCTACCACTGTTCAGCTATTGGATCTATCATTCACGGATCGCCAACAAACTGTGCTCTTGGAAATTCGAAGTCAACCGTATTTGAAGCTTATCGGATGTTTTATTTTTCCTCTCGTCGCATAAGAACTCTTGTGGTCTTATTTTAAAGATCTTTTTGAGAGTCACCCGATCAGCTTACTACCATTCCTTCAAGTCGCTCTGCAAAGCGATAGTCGTCAATTTGCTCTGCGTTTGGAACTGCCACTATCGTCACTAGACAGTATTTTCCAAGTCACATTGCTTTGCTTCAGTCGCTTTGTCTAGCATCGCTGTCTACCCGTCTGGATCGATGGCACGCACATCGCCTGGACCTGCTGACCTCAAACCAGCGCCGATCGCCACACAGCGGTGCGTCAGTATCTCCATCCACTTCCTACCCCTACTGAGAACATGTCTCGTATGAAAAGCAAATGCCAATCATGTGCTAAAGTGGTGAAAAATGGTCTTGTGTGTACCATGTGCTTGAAAACCTATCACACTACCTGCTTTGGGAAGAAGTCGACTCAAGCAAACACCGCAGATTCGCCTTGGTTTTGCCAAGTAGGCAAGTCTATTCCATTTGTTAGCTGTCTATCTGTGCTACTGAATAGGTGTGAATGACTAACCGAAGCGGTCAAGCAACTGGTGAGTGCCAGAGTTACACCCATGGGAGGAAACGGACCTGCACTTGTGAGTGAAAATAACACCCCGAACTCACTAGTCAGGCCGAAGAAGCGAGCCAGGCGTCCCAACCGAACCCCAACGACTCAGCCTCCAGCAGTTTCGACTCCATTCTCTCTCCCTCCTATAAGTAAAAACAGTGCCTGCAGCGAGCCTGCCTCAACTTCTGTACTGTGTGCTGCACCTATTAGTCTGTTCTCTACACTCGAGACTGTAAGCTTCAGTCAACCAGCCATAGTGAAAAACCCGGCAACGTACGCATCGGTTGCTGCCACGCAAACACCGGAAAGAGCACCGGTAACCATTGTGCCCGGACTAGAGAAAACAAAACTGCCGCAGCACGGATGGCACACACCAAGGCCGTTCACAAATTTAACAAAAACACCGGAAACTGAGCCTCGAAATCCAAAACCTTTAGCCACCAGGCGCAACCATGGTGTCCTAAACATTGTATGCACTAATGTCCCCGAATCCAAATCCGATACAATTAAGGGTAAGTTGACGGACGATCAAAATCAGTGGGGTTCCATCTGTACGTCGATCGGAGTCCATGCTAATCCCACGATATTACAAAGAATCTCGCGCCACCCAAACGCGGTGCACTACGGCAAACCCCGGTTACTTCGGGTAACACTAAACTCGGCGGACGAGACTGAGGCCGTTCTGCTGTCTGCGAATCGTCTCCGCAACGACTCAAGTGGAGTGCGCATACTACCCAAAATCCCGTGGAAAGAACGTTCAGGGGATCCAGCTAACAGAGAGAGGTACAGAATAAGTCAAAATAAGAAAACAGTGATTGCTCACGGTGTTCCTGAGCTTACTGACTCCTCTTCGGACGATGCTCAGATGCATGACCGCGAGCAATGGCACTACATCCGGGAGGTTCTTTCTCTCGAAAATGTGGTGGTCACCTCGTTGACAAGGATCCCCATATCACCAAACTATAAGGGATGCGGTCCCAGGCTCTTAAAGCTTGTGTTCCAGTGAGAACAAATGGCACAAGCACTACTAGTGAACTGGATTAAACCCCGTCACAAATTGCCAACGGAAATTCGTCTGAAAGCAGCAAGAACACCAACACCTTTTAATGACAATTCAGTAGAGGCACAACTCTTAGTGAAAACGCCAGCTGCAGGACCCGACTCGGGGACGGTTTCAAGAGTGGCCATACTATCCGGAGGGGTACAGCAGAGCACGAGCAAACACCGGGATTCGGAGCATCTGATACCGGCTTACATATGAAATACTTCTCGAGAGTATGCAACCCATCCAAAAAACGATTAGTCGCCGATCCTTTAATGGTCGGCGTAAACTCATTTGCTTCATCCACCCATCCAGTCGCCGGCCACTCACTGGTCGGCGAAACTTAACGTATGAGTTGTACAACTTCTGATATATTGATTAAATCTGAGAAACTTTCATGTATGTACACCAACGCCCAAGGGCTCCTCAGTAAAATTAACGAACTTCGACTACGTCAGGTTGCGAACGCTTGGGACCTAATTTCTATTACCGAAACTTGGTTGCATCAAGAGGTGACTGATGCTGAGGTTGAGATAGCCGGAATGTCTCTCATCCGGAACGACCGCCCCAGCAGAGGAGGTGGGGTCCTACTCTACTACCGCAGCAATCTACAATGTACAATAGTTGAGGACCTGGAAACACACGTTACCGACTCACTCTGGTGCCGTCTCCGACTGAGACACAACGATACATGTCTCATAGCTATCGTTTACCGCCCCCCAACGTCCACTCTGGAAATGGATTCCTGCTTGATCCGTGGCCTAAACAGAGTAACACGCACTAGGTACAGCCACACTCTCATCTCCGGGGACTACAAACTACACAATCTGGAGGTTTCGGCATCGCCCAGTGAGAAGTTCAAAGCAGACTTGCATGAACTGATCGCTAATATTCTTTAGTACAATAATGTCACCACGCCCACTAGATTCAGGGCAGCAAACAAACCGTCCATATTGGACCTTGTGCTCACAAATGAAGAGCTCATGATTGACTAGTTATTGATGGATAGTCCATTAGGTCTCAGTGACCACGTAGTAATAACTTTTGACTATGTATGTTATGCAGTGTATCTATCTGAACACTCGGAACTAACTCATACAATCACACGCTACCACGTATTGAAAGAACTCGCCGACGCAGCTTCTTGGGAATTCTCAAACAAAAGTCCCCTTGACAACGTTTGGGCAGAGTTCGTTAATAAGCTCAGCGACATCGTCAACAAAGCAACAGAGACCAAACCCCGTCGTCCCGCAAAAATGCCTTCAATTATAAGGAGTAGGACTCGCAAATGCCTGGCGATAAGGGATGCAGCATGGCGTGCCTACAAGATTAACCCCGACTCAGAGACTTGGGGAAATTTCCTGGCCCATCGAAACCATTGCACCGCACTTGTCCGTGAGGACAAAATAAGTTATCAACAGTGCCTAGCCAAAAAGTTCATGGCACACAACAAACTGCTGTATAAGCATGTCAATAAGCTTCGTAAAGTGAAGCATGGAATACCCCCACTATTCACAACAGGCGGTAGAGTACAAAGCGCCGAAGAAGCAGCTAATGCCCTGCGGCTGCAATATGCCCCAATTTTTGAACTCGCAACATCTACCTGTCCCATAATAGCAAGCTCATTACCGACACCTTTGTTTACAAATGTTATTTTCAACCCATCAATTGTGCTAAGGAAATTACTCTCACTGCGTGAACATATTTCTCCGGGAGCAGACAACATCCGCCCGAAAGCACTGAAGGCTATGGCCACCAAGCTAGCTGAACCACTGTCACAGTTCTTCCAAAGGTGCTTTGATGAACTACAAGTCCCCACTATGTGGAAGTGTGGCATTATAACCCCTATTTTTAAAGGCCGTAGCCGCTCTCAAAACTGTAAAAGTACAGAACGCTAACCAACCCACTGGGTCAGGTAACGACACCAAATTGAATGGTAGAAAGGCGAAACCGAAGAGACTCCCATCGAAAGGCATTTGCGGGTTAGGAGAATATCATCGGGTAGTAAAAATCGGTCTAGCTTGTTCGCACTGTTTGGAATGGTACCATACGAAATGTGCAAATATGTCCCAACAACAGTTACGGGAGCGAAATAGCTCCCAAGATGCATTTTGGTTCTGTACTGCGTGTTCCACCATCCCCCTCGTTAAGTGCTTGCTTATCCTAGCTGAGAAATGCGACCGGTTAATCGCAGAAGCAGAGCAGAGGATAAACAATGAGATTATTTCAATGGGGGCGAGTATGGACCACAGAAGCGTAGCGGCTGCTAAGCAACGGAATGCTGAACAAATCGCTTCGCCTGCACCGAAATCAGCCATGTCTCCATCTCCGTTGTCTTCTCCAACTTTGGTAGAACGCCGGGCGAAAACAGACTGTACCTACGTGAATCAAGCAGTACTCACAGCAAAGAAAATCAGGCACCATTCAAAACGTCTGGTTAAGCAAATTCCAACTTGCAACCAAGACGTCGTCAAGGTAGATGAAAAATGCAATCTAGCTCGCGACTGACCTAGTCCATTAAAAAGTCGAAACATCTGAGCTGCATCGCGAAGACCAATTGGCATTCGCAAGAACTCAATAAGCCGAAGGGTGTGGTAGCGGCAGTCTTAGGAACATCATGAGGAGGGACGGGGATGTGGTGATATGCCCGCATTAAATATATCTTGCTGAACACTTTCTTCCCGTACAGCGGGGCTGAGAATTCCTGGAGATGCGGAATTGGATACCTGTTTGGGACGGTCATGGCGTTCAGTCCCCCATAATCCCTACAAGGTATGCAATTTCTAGGTTTGTTCTTCGGAACCATACGTAGGGAGATGCCTTTATAATATGCATCATATTATGCCCAAGTGCGACATATGGTCGAATTCGGCCTTCTCTACGGAAAGTTTATCAGACGCTAATCGCCGTGGTCGATGGAAAACTGGACTAATTGCTGCAGTTATCCGGTGAACCATCTCGTGCTTGATATTCACCGGGTTGGTATGCGGCATCGTTGTGTCGGTAAATTTACGTAACAGATCCAAATACATTAGAAGGGTTTAATGTAGGACAAGCTGCGGACTCATAGACATAATGGAACTTTTGAAGCCAGCCTGTGATAGTAGTGTTAAGCCATCGATGATCTGACGGCGTTTCGAATCTACGATAATGCCATAGTACTGAAGTAAATCGAGGCCTAGGATTTCAGTTGGCAGTTGGCTATAATAAAGACCCAAGGAAAAGACCTACGCAGACCAAGCTTTAGTGTGATAAAACGTTCTCCATAGGATCGGATTGTCGTGCCGTTTACTGCATGCAGGCTGTATACCGAGCAGTGCTTCAGGTCCTCCGGATGTAAAGGAACCGCACTGACTTTGGAACCAGTGTCTACGAGGAATCGTATGCCAGATTTTAAGTCCTGCAAGTAAAAGAGGCGAGGTGGTTCACATATGTCAGCTTGCGTAGTCGCCATTACGAGCTGGCGTGTTCGATTCCCGAGTTAGAAACTCGACACGGCTTCATGCATTTTTGAGCCCTGTTACGGAACCTCCGGTGGTACCAGAAAATGCCACGGGAACCATTAACACTCCAACTACGTCATTGGTAAGATCTAGAGTTGTTCCTTTGTCTTGCGACGGCAATAGAAGCCAGTTGTTCTTGCAGCGAGTGCAATGTTTTTACCAGTGGGTTGTCAGATGCACGAGACGATAAAGTTAAGATCGTTGGCGATTGTATCCCCATTGTTTTATTGGCAATAAGAGCTAACTCTTTCAGTTCGGCATTCTGATGAGCGTTAGCCAATAGCAGTTGTACCTGTGTAGGGAGCCGTTGCATAAATAACTACCTAAAAATGGAATTCTGCAGGGTTATGAACTACCAGAGCTTGCTGGCTCACGATAGTTGCGTAGAGGTGTGAGCGCCTAATTGCTCCTCATTAACTAAGCGTTGCGCTCTCTTAAGCCCACTAAGGCTAAGCTCGCGAACGAATAAATTCCTTAGTTGTTGGTACATAGGGCTTGTTTTCAAGATCTCCTGTGCTAGGAGCAATAATTCTCCTGAGAGTCGCGAAATTACATGATGAATCTTAAAGGTATCCTTACGTATGCGGTTGATTTCAAAAAATGACGGCCTGATGAAACCAAAGCTAGAGGTATTGGATTCAAAATATTTGTAAACAACTAGTAGAAACTGTCTTAATTTCCGCTGGTTGCTGGTCAGTCACCTTCACATGAAATGATAAAAAAGCGACGAAACACCTAACTCACGTCGGGTTCACCACTTTTTAGGAACACAGATTTAGGATTTTCAGGAGTGCGGATTTCGGAGTTGATGTTCCGTCGTTCTCCGATGCCAAAATGAGGTGAAAGTATATATTCCCACAGTTTAAGCAAGGAAGAACAGAGGAAGCCTAGTAGTGCTGTTGCTCCTTAGATGGTAGTTTGTTCAAAATTCGCTAAGCGATGGTATGTTGGATGGAGCTTTTACAATGATGGTCAATCTAGCTGGTGGATCGTCAGCTGATTAAGGGTAATGTTCCAGCAAAGCTTATGTGGCAAAATGTAAATAAGTGTTCTTCAACGTGATACGCACCCTACCTTTGAAGTTCAGAATGACGTGGTGACGACGACAGTTGTCTTAGTCTGGTGATTAAAAGTTTGGAGTTTGTAATCCGTCGTGAGGCCTCCTTCCTAACACCGCCTCTAGAAAAGCGAAAGGGCAGCTTGTTCTTCAATGTCATCAGCAATGTTGATGGCTAGCATAAGCACTTCTAACCTTGTGGTGGTGTTTAACGTGTGATCGTGGTGGCGCACAAACCTTACTTGGATGCTTCCATTGCTAAGCGGTTCCAGAGATTTTGAACGTCCTGTGCATCACCATCATCATCATCGGAATAATCCGGTTCTTCGACCTTGTCTCTAGGGAGAGTCGCAACACCGCGCTCCTGGACAGCTTTCACTGCTCGTTTATCAAAAGCTTCGTAA